ATAAAAAAGAAGTGTTCTCAGGGTTGGGGAGATGACTCCATTGGTAAAGTTTCAGTGAAGGGACATGAGGACCTGAGTTTGACCTCTAGCACTCCCAAATGTATCTGTGACCCCAGTGCTGGGGAGGTGGGTATCTGGGGCTTGCTGCCTAGCCGGCCTAGCTCAATCAATGAGCTCCAGGTTCAGTGAGAGGACCTTGCATCAAAAGCAAGACCACCACACAGTAGTGCACACACCACACACATGCACAATACATACACCAACACAAAAGAACATTCCTGCTAACCAGCAGCGGCACGAAGGCCTAACGAGCTGAGATCAATACTGGAACCCACTACCCTCCTCCACAACAATAAATCACTTAAAACGTCTTCTAAGAGCTCGTGAAAGGCATGTCTGGAGGCATGAACCTGTAACCCTAGCACTTGAAAGGTGGAAGTAAGAGAGTTTTAAGGCCAGAAAGTATTGCATGAGACCCAGTCTCAAAAAAAAAACCAAAACAACAACAACAAAAAAAAAACCAAAGGAACAAACAAAAAACCCAAATAAAAAAGCAAAAAAGCTCAAAGAAGACCCCATGATGTGCAATAAGGCCAAATGCTTGCTTTACACAGGTTGACAAGCTGCTCAGGGGGCTGCAGAGATTCCATCTAGGAAGGGAAGCTTCCCTTTGTTCCCACTGCTGCTCTCCTGAGTGTTCTCAGCCTCTGAAGAAACAAGTTCTGAAAGCAAACTGCTCATGTTCCACGGAAGAGGGGAGCATGGGGCCTCCTGACCTATAAAACCCAATATTCTGGCATATCCATAATCCCCTACTTTGGGCCGGTCAGCTGGAGACTCCCTTCAGCAAGCCACCCTCTGGAGTCAAGCTGTCATTCCTAGGAGCTGACAAGGACAGAACCAAGCGCACTCTGCTGAAGAAAGTCTCCATTTGAGCTGGCATTTCAATCTGCTGGAAGAGACAGATGGAGGGGATGACAGGAAGAGTGATTATTTCTTCTGGGCTTCCTCTCTGTCTGGATTCTAAGGAAACAACACAAAATTCCATCATAGACTGAAATGCGATCTAAACATTCTTGAAAATGTGATCTTGCTCTCTGAAACACGAGCTGCCCGGCTGACAACCTGTGACCCTTTTCCAAGGGAAGGTGGGGAGAGGCATTCCTGAGGCCTACCCCTTCTGGGGCTTGCTCCCCATTGCTCCCCCATGCTGCTCTTTCATGGCTCACAAGTTAAAATATAAGCAGCTAGGACATGTACGGACATAGCATGACCCAACAAGAAGTTCCAATGAATCACCAGCTCTCTTTTCATGTTCTGAGGACCTTCAACACCTGGGACTCTCCCAAGTGTTTTAAGGTTTCAGCAAGCCCTTCTAAATGTAGGCTGAATCACAAAATACAGCAGTGCTATTCCAAGCAGCAGTAAACTGGGCCTATTCACACACAAACCATGGGCTGGAGATGCAACTTGGTGATAGAACTATGCACAGTTGCCTAGCATTCAGGAAGCCCCAGTCTTATCCCGAGCACTGAATACCCCTCACCAAATCAAACTTTATACCACCTAAAGCATGACTAAAATGAAGCTTTTGCAGCCAAGGGCAAGAGTGTTTGTCTATTCGCAATGAATGATCTAAGACATACCAAATGTTCACTGCAGTTGCATGAAGGACTGCCTGGACTCAAGTGTAAGATGAAAACGATGGTTCCTGCTTTCAAGGAGCCTACAAAAGAGCCAAGGGGCCAAGAGCTATTCATTAGTAAGTCAAGGGAGACCACGGACTCAGGAGGCCAGGCACAGCGGAGGCTGGGGGTGACAAGTGACAAGCAGAAGTACACACATCTGTTTCTCCTCTGCAGATGAAGAGAGGGTCAGATGAAGGTCAAGTCTCCGTGGGCCCAAAATTCTGAATCCTTGGGTGTTTTTCAGATGGGATAAATAAAATATTATGAAAAAATTAGCATTTGAGTTAGCCCTTAATGCGTAAAGTTTTGAAATTTAAAAACTGGAAGAAAGGGAGACAAAACCAAACCAAAAAAGCCCACTTCAGGCCTTAGTAGTGAGAAGTGATTATTGATCTGACAGGTCTGGATTCCCTGCTGAGAGGCAAACTTGAGAGGGATTGTCTAGACCAGGCTAATAAACCAGGAAGACCCACCCTAAATTCTATGGGCTGGGGTGCTAGACTGAATAGAGTAGAAACTGAACTCAGTAACAGCAATGACCCCTCTCTGCCTGACTGTGGATGCAGTGTGACTCAGTTCCTGCTGCCATGGCTTCCAGGTCAGGATGGACTGGATCCCCTCCGACTGGAGTCAGAATAATCCCTTCCTCCCTTAAATTGCTCCCTGTTGGGTGTTTCGCCACAGTGGTGATAATGAACACAGGACCAGAGAACTACACAGGCATGGGTCAGAAAGCAGGCGGCATGTGGTGGAGCAGGAAGTTTTCCTTGCTTAGAACAAAGGAAGAGACAGTTGGAAATGTCGACGGCAGCCTCAAGCAGCAAGTAAGGGAATGTGCCCAACTTCACTGGCATGTCAGAAGATAGCGTGTTCTGAGAGGCCAATGCCATGACCAGACATGAGAAATGGAAGCTAATCAGCAAAATGAGGGAACCTTCCTCCTCTCTATACTTCTAAGGTCCTATTTACATAGGACCTGATAGACGAGAACAAAGTAGTGAACACTAAGATCCTGGGAGAGTCCAGGAAACAGGATGTCTTAAGGAGTTAACACAGCAACAGACAGTGGTGATGAGAAAAAGGATGAAGACGGGCTACATGCTGGCAGAAAACAGAAGGGTATGTCAAGAGGGAAAAGAATGACAGCCATAAAATGTAGGAAAGCAGAAATGGATAAAACTAACAATGGGGCTGGGGCAACGGCTCAACAGGTAAGGTACTTGGTTCTCAGTCCCCAGCACCCACGGAAAAGCCAGGTGCAGGAACGCACACTTGCCATCCCCGCACTGGGGTGCAGAGACAGAAGGATCTGTGCGGTCTTGCTGGCCAGTTTAGTCAATTGGTGAGCTCAAGGTTCCGTGAGCTGCTCTGCCACACAAGGGGGCTGAAGATGGCTCAGCGGTTAGGAGCACTTAATGCTCTTGAAGAGGACCCAAGAAGCTGGCAAACACGGCTCTGACAGGTCTTGCCCTTCTCTCCCATCCCCTCTGCCTGTTTTAGACAGTTAGGTTACATTCCTGGAGCCAGTCCCTTCTTTGGCCACTTCCTTCTTCTAAGGCTAACTACCAAGGTCCAGCAATCAATGTATTGAAGTCCAGCAATCAAAAGCCCCCTTCAACTCATTTAATTAATGTGCCCAATCAAAATTAAACACTTCATCCTGACACGGGGCTTCCCATTTTACCTTTATAAACCACCATTTGCCTATGGGCTAAGTCTGTCTCCTCTCTATCCAGACAGTTCTTTGTCTTTCTGGACAAATATCCCTGCCCTGTCTCTCTTGTTCCCTTCCCCTTCTCCCTTGTCCTCTATCTTCTGTTTTTGTCTCTTGTTTCCTGCCCTCTGTCCCTCTGGGACAAATAAATCTTATTGCTGAGAACTTGGTTGTGGGGGTCTGGAGCTGATACTCTTCCTTTCACTGAGTCCAGTTTCCAGCACCCATCTGGTGGCTTACAACCATCTGTAGCTCCATTCAAGGGGTGTGACACCCTCTTCTGACTGACACATGTGCACCAGGTACATACATGATGCACATACGTGAGGCAAAACATTCATGCACATAAAATAAAAATAAATATAAAAAACTTCAAATAAATAAAAAGCAACAATAACAACAACAACAAAACCAACTAAAAAATGTAAGAGTCAAGACACCTTTGAGGGCTGGAGAGATGGCTCAGAGGTTAAGAGCATTGCCTGCTCTTCCAAAGGTCCTGAGTTCAACTCCCAGCAACCACATGGTGGCTCACAGCCATCTGTAATGAGGTCTGGTGCCCTCTTCTGGCCTGCAGACATACACACAGACAGAATATTGTATACATAATAAATAAATATAAAAAAAAAAAGACACCTTTGAGCCCTTAGCAGCAGGAACGGGGATGTTGCTGCTGAGGAAATGTGTACCTAGAATTGGACCCTGTCTTACACTCTAACCCTGAGCAGTCTAAGAGCTGTTTTCAGAAGTTGTACTACACTATACTGTACTATAAACTGTCACAGAGCTGGTCACGGCAGGCTGCAGTTGTAATCCCAAGAACTCAGCAGGCCAAAGTGGGAGAACTGGGAGTTTGAGGCCAGCCTCGGCGATGCAGTTAACACTGTCTCAAAAACACCAAGGGCTGGGCCGTGGCTCAGTGATCTAGTGTGCACAAGGCCCTAGGTTTGATCCCCAGTGCTGCAAAAAGCTGAGGAGGACAAGCGAGAGGAGTGGACATCCCAACAGCGCACAGCTGACACCGCAGAGGGGAAAGGTGTGCTCAGCCCTGTTGCCATGACGGCCACCTCTGACATACAGACTCCAGGTAACATCTGCCCTTGGAAGAGAAGAGTACCTCCTCTCCACAGGCTTCTTCCCCCTTTACCCCCTCACAACGGTCCTCTGTAGTGAGGAGGAAGGAAATACACCACACTGAAATAAATGAACGTAGCCCTGCTGGATGGTGGGACAGGCATGAGGAACCATGGCTGCCTCGCAGCAACCAAACTGACAGACAAAAGCAGGGGCTAGAGGTAGGCCCAGGACATAGGGCATGTCGTGTCTGTGAGGGTGAAAAACTAGGACCCTTCCATTTGTCCATTATAGCCTGCAGGCTGCTGTTCCTGAGTGAGCTGTGTATTAATACATGGTCTGGTCTGGAGGACACTGAGTGAGAGATCATGGCTGGCCTGGAGACCCTTGTCATGGTGAGGCTTCCTGCTGTATATGGACAGACTAATAAAGTGTAAACAAACTGAGCAACATTTTGGTCACGTGGGGTTTTAGTCTCTATGAAATTGAGGATGGTAACTAATGCAAAGGAATGCGTCACTTACTTGCCTTCCATCCTGCCCCACATTTGTCTGACCTCTTACAACAGTCCGGATATTGTCATCCAGTCTCCTGGAAAGAAAAAAGGTAGGATACAAGTCATTCAAACAAACTCAACTCTGGGTAAACCAAAAGAAACAGTAAATCAGTAATTCACTCATCAACTTTCGCTGATTGCAACTATTTAACGCAGGAAATCACATGAGCACAGGCAACAGAAGAATGAGGCCTCGGACCAGGGGGCACCACAATACAAGAAGTCACCACCAGTGCAGATTTAGGATTACCTTTGCTTAAAAACTGGTGAGTGAGTTCATATTCAGAAGCTGGCTGAAAGGACCAATAAAACTGTAAATGGTTTTCACAGAGTAAATCAACAATGACAAAGTTACAGATGTTTTAGAGAAATAAGCCAGCAAATCCAAATTAGCAACCGCAAAATCCCTGCTTTGGTGACCTAAAAGAAGTAAAGAGCTGGTGTAATTCATGCAATCAGTGCTTGCTCTTCATGCCCTGATGTGCAGCCTGTCAGAGGTAGATCTATGGCTTCCAGGATGTCTTTTCCCAGGGGCTCAGCAAGGGCTTCTGCATGGCGCCTCCACCAGAGGAATTTCTATCAGCCGGCTTCATTTTGCACTTGAAGAATCTATTTAAGGTATGGTAGCAGGAATGCAGGAAATAGCTAGCTGACAGGGCTCTCTGGATTGCCAGGATATTTCTACTTTCTATATAGACTCTGGTAACTTTGAGGTCTCTTCTAGAGTCATTACAGCTGAAGCCAACAAAACAAGGCTTTTTTTAAAAAATTTACTTATTTTATTATTTTATGTGTGTGAATGTTTTGCCTGCATGTATGTATGTGTACCATGTGCATGCCTAGTGCATTTAGAGGTCAGAAGGTGTCAGTCAAATCCCTGGGACTGGAATTACAGATGGTTGTGAGTAGCAATGTGGATACTGGTAACCAAACCCAGGTCCTCTGCAAGAGCAACAAGTGATCTTAACCCCTGAGCCTTCTCTCTAGCTTACCCTTGTGTTTCCTAAGGCACCACTAGGACAATACATTTATAGGTAAGTGCCCTATACTGAAAGATCTAAAGAATGTTAGGGAAACAAACTTATCTTCCAGGCTCAAAATGAATGTTTTCCATTTTCAAAATGAGTTTTCTCACCAAAAATCAAACAAAAATAAGATGGACGTGGTGGCACACACCTTAATTCCAGCATTCGGGAGGCAGAAGCAGGCAGAAGAAGCAGGCAGTGCTCTGAATTGGTCTACAGAGTGAGTTCCAGTACAGCCAGGGACTTCACAGAAAGACCCTGTCTCAATTAAAAAAAAAAAATCTCCAAAATATATTTGAAGCATACTTAGATAATATAAATTCCTAAACCTAGACCTGGATAAGCCAGAACAAGGCCACTGGGCAGGAGGAACCTGATGATAACATGGACAGGGTCCTTAATTCTGGACCACATTCAAGTCAACCGGCAAATCCAGTATAACCCCATCTCCAATTCTGAGTCATAGCACTACAAAAGGTAGGCCTAGTAAAGAATAAAACTATTAAATATTGTAGAAAAGTTCTTGCCTCCTTTGAAAATTAACTCTCTCTCCTCCTCCTCCTCCTCTTCCTCCTCCTCCTCCTTCTTCTTTCTTTCTTTCTTTCTTTTTTTTTTTTAATAAGGACTCATGTATCCCAGGCAGGTCTCAAACCTTGAACTTCTGACTGTCTCTCCTCTAGCTCCCACATGCTAGGACTAGAGGTGTGTGCACCCACTCCTGGTTTATGGGTTTGTGGCATGCTTAGGACTAAATCCAGGGCTTCATGGATGCCGGGTTAGCACTCTACTGAATTACATCGCCAGCCCCGATGAACTGATTTGTTTCGTTTTGTTTTAGAACAGGGTCTCACTGTACGGTCCTGGCTGGCTGGGAACTAACTATATAAAACAGGGTGACTTGGATCTCAGAGATCCCCTTGCGTTTACTCCCAAATGCTGGGGTGAACGGTGTGCACCACCACAGCCTGTCTGATGACCACTTTTTTAACAGTCTGTTCCAGTTTCCTTCACTATGTGTGGGAAGTTAAACCCTGGCCAAAGAACTGAGCTCCTTGCCATAGAGTTTGCATGAAAACCCACAAGAAACAATTATTTTTAAATTTGAGATTTTAGAGCTTTCATCAAAAAAATGTGATTCAGATATGAATAAATTAACATGCTTTTTTAATTAACAATCATATGGTGTTACTTACCTTATTTTCAGTCTAATTTTGTTCACGACATCATCTATGTTTGCCAGAGACTACAATGAAGAAAAGAGAGTGCTGGCTGTTAGTCCACTTCCTGGGGTTCTCTTTCACAGGGAAATGGTGATACCTCAAAGTTTAATCTTGATCCTACATTTAATTCTTTAAAAAAAAATCATCCTATTTTAAAAATTGACTTTTGTTTTGTGTATATGTGCACATGTGTGTATGTACATATGCATGTTTGCACAGCCTGTGAGCACACAGATGTGCAGTCTTCCTCAGTCACTCTCCACCTTACATGTTGAGGCAAGGTCTCTCACTGGACCCAGAGCTCAGCAATTCATCTAGTCTTCCCTTCTAGCTTGCTCTGGAGACCCCTGTCTCCACCTCCTGAGTGTTGAGATTACCATCATGCTCAGTGTCTACATGAGTTCCAGGACAGACAGCGTGGCAAGAGAAACCCTGTCTCAAACAAACAAACAAATTACATACCTCTCTATAATACGTTACCCTTCACTAAAAAAATAAGTTATTTTTATGGATGTATATGCGTTAGGAAAATGTCTGGAAAACCATATACTGTAACATACCAGTGGATGGAATCTAGAAAATCTGAATTAGTAGCTTAAGGAAAGGAATAATTTCAATGTTTCTTCTTTTTTGCCTCTGAGTATTTGCCTACATTCTGATTCGGTTAGAATGACTGTCACAGAATAGTAAAACAAATGGACCTAGAGAGAAAATGTGGTGCAATGGTGCCCCCTGGTGGAAGATGGAAAGGACAGCAATTTTCTAATTCCCCTTTCTTCTCCAACAGAAACTTTCTCAGGAGGAACTATGCTTATAAATTGCTTCTGGCTCTCTGCTGACAGGAGGAAGCCAGAAGCCTTCCAGGAACAGACCTGAGGCGCCACAGTAGTCTATCCACATCTCTCCTTTTAAGCCAAGGTTTACTCTCAACTTTCAGAAATCCAAGAGCAGTCAGAGAGAGAAGGTGAAATTCAGAAAAGAAAAGCTGCTTTAAATGGGCAATCCAAGGCAATGGGGTGAGTTTAGTCCTATTGTTAGGACTTTAAATGAGCAATCCAAGGCAATGGGGTGAGTTTAGTCCTATTGTTAGGACTTTAAATGGGCAATCCAAGGCAATAGGGTGAGTTTAGTCCTGTTGTTAGGACTTTAAATGGGCAATCCAAGGCAATGGGGTGAGTTTAGTCCTATTGTTAGGTTCATCTCCTCAAACTGGGATGCTTGTGACTGGGTGTGATTTAAATCACCATCACTGTAGGAACAGCCAATGAGCTGCCCAGGACCTGTGCCTGGCCCACCCCTGCCACTGCCAACTCGCTAAAGGGCAGCTCTTCAACCTCCCTGAGTTTCTAAAAGGGAAAAAAATGGGTGTAACAGTTCCTGGCCTGCTAACTCTGCTGGAACCCACTCTTAAAACAACAACAATGACTGTCTCTTGAGTGCTGGGATTAGGTGTGCATATATTCTTTAAAATATTTTTATATTTTAATATAATATACCATATTATATCAAATATATACTATATTATATTTCAGTATATATTCTTTCTATTATGTTTTAAAATGCTACTGTACATCTGCATAATTATCTTGGGTGATTCTTAGAAAACAATGCTGTAGTTTAACCAAGAACTTCTTGTCTAAGGACTATCACATTCAAGAAATGTGTATAGAGTCTTTAAAATATTTTGTAGGGGTGGGGGGAACTGGAGAGATAGCTCATCAGTTAGATGCACTGGCTGCTCTTCCAGAAGACCTGAATTCAGTTCCCAGCACCATGTCAGGCACCTCATAATAGCCTGTAAATCCGGCTCAAGGGACTCTGACAACCACTTCTGACCACTGCAGGCACCGAGCACACATAATATACACAGAGACACACATACATGCATAAATAAAAAATAAACATTATTAAATTTAATTTACTTGTGTGTGCATGTGCACATGCGCACAAGTACTATGGCTTAAGTGTAAAGGTCAAAGGACAGTTTGTGAGTCTGTTCTCTTCTGTTATGTGGGTCCTCAGACTTAGTGGCAGGTGTCTTTCCCTGCTGAGCCTTCTCACCAGTCCATGTATATAATCTCTTCTTTTCTCTTCCTCTGTCTCTGTCTCTTTGTCTCTCTCTCTCTCTCTCTCTCTCTCTCTCTCTCTCTCACACACACACACACACACACACACACACAAGTTTTAAAAAATGTTTTAAAACCTGGTTGTGGTAGTGCATGCCTTTAATCCCAGCACTCAAGAGGCAGAGGCAGGAATATCTCTGTGAGTTCAAGGCCAGCCTGATCTACAAATCCTGTTCTAGGACAGTCAAGGTTGTTACACAGAGAAATTCTATCTCAAAAAAACCAAAAACACCACCAACAACAATTTATGTTAGTACTAAGGGGCTGGAGAGATGGCTTGTGATTAAGAGCACTGGCTTCTCTTGCAGAGGACCCAGATTTGGTTCCCAGCATCCACACTGGTGGCTCCCCACATCTGTAGCTCTAGTTCCAGGGGATACCACACCCTCTCTCAATACTGTCTTCTGGGCTCTGACACATGTGGTGTACTTACATGCAGGCATAACACTTATATACATAAAATCAAAGTATTTTTAATTAGTATTTGAGAAATCTGAATGATAGCAGTTAGGAATTTGTCATCACACCTTTCTAAATCAGGGACACTACCAAAATTAATATGGTTTATATACTCATGTATAATTATGTATATAGTGGATATAATTATACATTATAAAATTGTTTTAATTACAAATATAAAATATTTATAAGGTATTTAAAATTGTTAAAACATATACATGACCAAAAATCTAGACGGTAAGAGCGTGCAGTGAATGCAGGCTTCCGCTTGCCCTGTGCTGCCCGACCGCAGCTTCTCCACTTTCTCAGTCTGAGTAAAGAGCACATCCACCCAAGGGTAGACTGCTCCGTGCCTTTTCACTCAGCCACGTGCTGGGAGGACACTTCACACCAGTGATACTGACTGCACCGCAGTGCCATTTCTTGAATTTGATAGTCCTGAGACAGGAGTCTTGGTTAAACCATAACACTGTTTTCTAAGAGTCACCCAAAATAATTATGCAGGTGCACACCTGCATTTTAAAATCAGAGGGGCAGTGAGACGGCTCAGCAGGCAAAAGAACTTGCTGTGCAAGCCTGCCAAGTGTGATTCCCGGTCCCTCCAGTGGATGGGGAGAATGAACTCCAAAAGCTGACCTCTGACCTCCAGGAGCACACTGGAGCAAATAAACCTGCACACACACATGCATACAAAAATAAACAGCAAAGACCTGGAGACAAGGCCCATTGCAAGAAAAAGATTAGGTCATAAGGGCATATTTATCTGATGGCCCTTCGGCCATCCCTAGAAACACTGGACAGGCAGGTTAGAAGACAACAAGGACCTGGCAGTCCACGGTCATCAAAAGAACAGAAAAGAGGAGTCAGGGCATAGCTCAGTGGTAGAACACTTGGCTAGCATGCATGAAGTCCTAGATTCAATCCCTAATTCTCCTGCCCCCTTTCTCTGTCACTCACTCAAAAAGATCCTACACTTCATTAGCTGATAAACTCACAGTCTTCCTATGGACAGGTGTGAGGGAGAGGAAAGAGTGTTAACCTTTAGTGTGGTCACTTCACAGAAATTCTTTTCCTTGACCCCCTGAGCTGAATGAGGCACACAATCCTCCTCCTCCAGGTTGGTTAATAAAATTCAGGAAGTCGATTCTGACAGGACAGACCTTTGTCTAAAGTTGTGGAGATCTCATTCTATTCACTGTTCATACATATCTACATCGATATCTAGATATCAATAGATCGGATAGACAGACAGACAGACAGATCCATCCTTGGGCTTGTTTTAGGTGCTGGTGCCTGGTGCACACTGAGCTACACCCCCAGGGCATACTACCTAGGTGCAATGATTGACCTTCCTTTCCACCAGTGTCTGAGAGAGCTGACAAGCCCCAAATTCAGCACAGCCTTCAATGACATGGGAGTCTTCCCTGGAGCTGGAGGAAAGGCCCGAGGGAATGCAGCGACTGCACACATCACTGGAAGATATACATCTTCTCTGACGATCCATCTGGTTTGATGGTAATGGGGTTGTACTGCTAAATGTATCCATTACTGAAACACATTTCCTTCATTCTGATAATCCAGGAAAATGGCCGTTTCCTCGGGAAGGTGTACGTGCTGTGCATATTCAGTCCTGGTCTTCTTTCTAGGAAAACTGATGCTTTAAGATACGAATCCGAGGAACTTGTCACGTGGGGTTTGTTTGTTCTTTTTTTTTTTTTTTCCTTTTCTCTTTTTTCTTGATAACAAAGACTCAGAGCATCTTGAGATCAGTAAAACTTCTCTTTTTGTAATTTTTTTTTTAGACATGATTTTGCCATTAGGCAAGGCTGGCCTTAAATTCATGACCCTCCTACAGTAGGGTTCCAGGTGTGTACCAGAGTTAAAATGTCAAAAAAGTTTGTTTATTTGGTTTATTTAATGTGTCCGCATCTTCAGATAAACTTCTCTCCTCCAGCCCCACCAAATTAGGCAGAGGAAGCACTTTTACTGAGTAAATGAATGAATGCATTTTACCTACATAGGCCTCTACTTAGTCCCTTCACGCACACACTGGGCGGCTCCATGTCATGTTGTGATCTCTCCATCCAGCCTCTTCACGAGGCTCTCCGCATCTCTGATGGTCTCTGCATCACTCCTTACTTGTCCTCCGGCTCCTCCTGTAGAATGACCTGCTTCCCTGTCTTCCTGCCTTTACCTCTGGCTACAGCAGTGTTTCACTAGACTGCCACAGGCCTGCTCCTCTGTCTCTTAGGTCTTGGTATAAGAGGAGCCGCCTCAGAGCGAGCCTCCCTTTAGGCTCTTTTAAAAGGCCCCGTCCATGCCACCATGTTTGGCAGCTACACTTGCTCCCAACAGATCGTCAGCCTTACTGGATCACTTCTTGTTGATTTATTCCTTGTCTTCCTTCCCACACTACACCCCATGAGACCAGAACTAACGTGCATGTTGCCCATTTCTCTCTAGTTTCTTAAACAGTCTCCAGTACCTAGCGTACTCCATAAATGACTGGGAGTCTGTCTGGCTGGCTGGCTGGCTGAATAAATGGACCCTTCGAGAACTGGCTGACAGCTCCTGGGTTCTGATCTTCCTAAGAAAGTTCTTGTCTCTGCACCGCACTCCAGTGTCCCTTCCGCTTTGATCACACACACCTCGGTGGCAATGATGCGTTCCCGTGCCTAGAACAGTGACTGACAGCACATGACAGCTGCCCAGTAAACCCAAAGTCATCTGTCACCCAGTGCCAGTGAGGCAGAGGCAATAGGAGCATTCTGGCTATACAGTGAAGACCACGCTGGGCTATATTAGACCCTGTCTAGAAAGAAAGAGAGAAAAAGGATGGCAGGAAGGAAGAAGGGAGGGAGAGAAGGTGGGCGGGTGAGCCAAAGTCTACCTGGTCTTCCCTAAATTTTCTGGCTTCTAACTCTGGATTATTGTAAGAAAACCCCATCTAGGCAAATCACACAAGAGAATATAAGCAAAATGTCTACAACTTTACATTTTAAATGTTGCTTTGTAAGTTGGAGTTTATCCTGCCTGCCTTGCTCCCACTTTTCCCTCCTATAAGTCCCCAATTTATAACACAGACTTCAGTGAGGGCTGAGGGAGACTCTCACAAACTAGAGGTGCCAAACTTCTCAAACTATGCTCAGCAAACAAAGAAGCCCATGCTACTTGGCTAATTGATCCAGTTAGTTACACTTGAACTTAAGTGATCTGAACTTAATGTCATTTGTTTATCACACCAATCACAACACACAAAGCCATCAGGAAGAAGGAAAACCTAAAGCTGTTTACTTACTTGCTCTGTTGGAAACAGAGTATTGATGTACTCAACGGCATTGAAGTCAGCTTGATCAAGAGGATCCTGGCTTGGAAATACCTACGTATTAACAGAAGGTTATTGATTAAAACCATGGTCGACACCACAGATAAGCACAGGTTTATTTGGGCTTTTTTTGTTTTGGTTTTTGTTCCAATTAGAAGGAACAGGACCAGCAAGATGACTCAGGAGCAAAGGTACTAGTCAAGCAAGCCTAGCAACCGGAGTTGGAGCCCCAGAATCCAACCTCACAAAGTTGTCCTCTGACCTCCACATAAATGCTATGACATGAGCACCCACACATCACATCACGTACACACAGAGAATACTACTAAAACAAGGGAATAAAATTATAAAAATAGGGGATTCAAAATTCAATCTTTGTATTAAACAGCAGGTTCTTGAAGACAAAGCAAAAACAAAATTTCACCTTTTTTTTTTTTTTTTGATTTTTCAAGACAGTTTCTCTGTAGCTTTGGAGTCTGTCCTGGAACTTGCTCTGTAGACCAGGCTGGCCTCAAACTCACAGAGATTCACCTGTTTCTGCCTCCCAAGTGCTGGGATTAAAGGCGAGCACCACTATTGCCTGGCTCCAAATTTCCAACTTTTTCATTTTATAATGCTTCACATACAATGGATACTCAAGAAAATATGGGACACAGGTATTGAGGAAACACGAGAGGAAAGCCACAAGAAGACAGGGGCCAAGAAGCATCAAGCAGTGCCGGCAACCATCAGAAGCAAGAAGAGCCAACCAAGAGTCTTTCTGAGTCTTCTGAGCAAGTACATGCCTGCAAATGCTGTTTTTTTGACGCTGTTTGTTGTTTTGGTCTTTGAGAGATGAACTACGTAGTTCAGGCTACCCTGCAACTCATTATAAGGCCCAGGCTGGCTTTGAACTGGTCCTCCTTCCTGCCTTAGCCTCCCAAATACTTGGATTACAGGGGTATGCTAGAATGCCTGGCTCCTGCTAATATTTTTGATTCAAGATTTCAGACTTCCAAAACTGCGACAGAAAAAAAGATATATACACACACACACACAGTTGTATGTCAGAAGAAACCAGTTCTGGGATGAGGACACGATGATTTCCTTTAACACCTGCAGTGCTGGGTATTACACACTGAAGATTGCAATGTCAGCCCTCCCACAGTAGAGGACACAGAAACCCTCTCCTGGGCAGCCGCAGTCACGTGAATTTCACCGTTCACTATTTTCTTATTTATGTCTGTGCAGTCACATGTTGTGTCACAAAGCCTGCAGCCCAAGCAAGGGGCATTCAAGGTCACCGTCAGTTACACAGCAAGTCTGAAGTAGCCTGAGTGAATTATAGGAGACTCTGGCTCAAAAAGGAAGGGAGGGAGGGAGGGAGGGAGGGAGGAAGGGAGGGAGGGAGGGAGGGAGGAAGGAAGGAAGGGAGGAAGGAAGGAAGGAAAGGACTCTCTTTTTATATAACTCTGGTGAAATGTTGTCTATCCAGAGGCCCCAGGTTCAATCCCCAATATTGCAAAAAAGAAAGAAAAAAGAAAAAAAAGAAAGAAAAAACGTGGGACCTCTGCACACAAAAACAATAAGTATGTGCATATATATGTATATATCGTGGTGCTGGGGACCAAGCCCCCATGCCTCATCTGTGCTAGGCAATCCTCTACCACTTAAGCTACAGGCTCAGCTTGCCCTGAGGAATCTTTATGCTTCAGATAACAACAAAAGATGGAGAACTGGCATTCTGGTTAGTAAAAGAAAACTATCTTCTAAGAAATATAACTAAGTCTCCTCAAAAGTCACAACTTGAAAAACAGGTAACAGGTGGGTTAATAAAGGCTGGGGCATGGTGTAAGCCTGCAATTGAAAGGTGGTGAGTGTGTGCCCATGTACCAGAGTGCTGGGAGGACCGGAACTCAAGGTCAATCAGCTGGACAGTGAGTGAAGGCTACAGAAGACTGTTTCCAACACAGTATGTGGGGTCAGAGACTGGCAAGATTATCTCAGCAGGTAAAACCACTTACACCAAGCTTGAGGACCTGAACTCAGTTCCTAGGTCCCACGTGTTGCAGAAGAGAACTGACTTGACTCCTGCAAGTTATCCTCTGACCTCCACGAGCACTCTGTGGTGCAGATGCACACACACACACACACACACACACACACGCACACGCACGCACACACAAATGTGATAATTAAAAAACAAACAACAATAACAATAAAAACAACAGAAAAGTCGGTGATCCTCTGGGAACCAAATTCTACCAGCTCAAGACATATAAAACTCTGTAAAGCAATCTTGAGAGGAACAGTTTCCTATGAAAAGGGTGAAAGAATCATGGCCAGGTGGTGATGACACACACCTGTGAGTTTGAGGCCAACCTGGTCTACACAGTGAGTTGTAGGGCAGCCAGGGGTACACAGAGCAACTCTGTCTCAAAAAGCAAAACAAATACAAACAAACAAAAAAGAATCAGAGAGATGGCTCAAAGTTAAGAACACTTGCTGCTCTTGCAGAAGACTTGGGTCCAGTTCCTAGAACCACACAGTAGCTACTGGCAACTGTCTGTAAGTCCTGTCCCAGGGAATCTGATGCCGTCTGTGGTGCACAGAAACTCACTCGGGCTCACATATATACACAAAATAGTAAATAAGTAATTGTTTTGATTTAAGAATAAAAATGAACGAATCAAAAAGTCTTGCTAAGAAAGGAATTTATGACTTCCATGAAGAGGCAAAGTCAGTGAGAGATGAAGCTTAGTATTTTCCTTAAAAGCTTAGCATTTTCAGTTCCGTACTGTACACCTATGGTGGGAATACACCACGCATAAATGTGAGTACACAATTAATTACATGCCCTCAGCAGAGGGAGTGCTGCAAACAGTGCCCGCCATTGTGAGGGGTATGAGGAAGTAAATGAATTATCCACTTCCTCTAACTGCTCCCAGTTTCTTCATTCCTCTCTTCCTGTCCCTGGGTGTCATCCCAGGCATTAATAAGATTCCACACAACACTATCCTTGACTTAAGCTCCTTCATCCGGTGACACCTATAAAGAGAATGCCTGGCCCCAGTGTGGCAGAGAAAGCACCAGACTTATCAGACAACCTTTATTTAGACACTGTATTTCATGGGTCGTTTAGAGGATTTCAAGAGGAACATGGCTGTGGTGGTACTCATTTTATGCAATGCCTCTGGAATTCACCTCCAGGTAAAATGTGATTCTGTTATATCAACCCTTATAACTTGCTCTTTATAATGCTATTGTTTAACTAGTTGCAGGATTTTTAGGATTTTGAACAATTAAAAATGAGGAAAAAATCTAAATTCATCTTGAAATCAAGTGTTTGCTGACTAAACCTTGAAAACGTGAGACTAGAAAATGTAGCGGAGCAGTGGTAGCACATGCCTTTAACAAACACTCAGGAGGCAGAGGTAGGCAGCTATCTGAATTCTGAGTTCGAGGCCAGCCTGGTCTATAGAGTGAGTTCCAGGACAGCCAGGGCTACATAGAAAATTCTTGTCTTGGAAATCAAAAAAAAGATAAAAGAAAAGATAAAAAATAAATGTATCATAAATGATAATAACAATGTGATATTCTGATATTTCCAGTTCAAACAGTAATTGACTGATGTAATGATCTGTTCTGTCTCTTTAAGAGACAAGCCACCCCCACTCCCTCCCCTGTCTGCTGAGACAGGCTGATCTTCAGCTTCCAGCTGAGTTCCCTCTCTTTTCCATCTCCCTCTTGAAGAGGCAGCTTCTGTCTCTCTTCTCTCTCTGTCCCTCTCTCTGCTCTTCTCCCCTTCTCCCTCTTCCCTTCCGTACTTCCATAATCCACTGAATAAATATCCAACCTTACTCTGCATGGCATGCCTCTCCATGTCTCTGTCTCTTGCCTGCCGCCATTCTGTCTCCCTGCCCTGTATCAGCCACCGCTCCAGGGCCTGCAGCTGTCCCTGCCTGGGACTGGCTGCTCTCCACATAGCCCGCTGCCACCACTTGGGGACCTGCAGCATTTTTATTAATCCATTTCAACTGTACTGTTTCTGCCATCAGATCCCAGGAAGTCTAAAGCACAACTGGAATGCAGGCAAAGAGAATTTCTTGTCAGGATGAAAGGACTCTTAGAAATATTCTCCAATGTAAGCCAAATAGCAGATATTCTTAACCTTTTGACATTTTTACTGTATTTATGTGTGTGTGGCCTATGTATGTTGGGGTGGGGGGTGCGCAACAGGGGCGACTGATGGACACATGTTCTCGCCCTCTACTCTGGGGTTCCTGGGGGACAGACTCAGGCTATCAGGCATAGTGACAATGCGCCTCTACCCACTGAACCAGATCGCTGGCCCTCAACCTTTTAATTATGGTAAAGGCCTGTCTTCGCTTGCTTTCCCATTGCTGTGATAACACACCATGACCAAAAGCAACTTGGGGGGAAAAAAAGAGTTTATTTACAAGTTACAGTGCATCTCAGCAGAAACCATAGGAACGCTGCTTACTGGTTGGCTCAGCTTGCTTTTCTACACAGCCTGGGCCCAGCTGCCCAGGGGTGGTATCTCGCACAGTGGGCTGGGCCATTCTACATCATCAATCAAGGTAATGCCCACTGACCCGCCCGTGGGCCAATCAGATGGAGGTAATTCCTCAACTGAGGCTTCCTCTTCCCAGATAACTCCAGCGTGTGCCTCTCTTGCTCGCTCTCTCTCTCTTTTTCACACACACAGACACACACACAGACAGACACACACACAGACAGACAGACACACACACACACACACACACACATACACCACACACCACCCCATTCTGCCATTTTCTTCTGGAATGAAAGTCTCCTGCTGCCAATTCCAAACCACTGCAAAGGCTTGAGAAAAGACAGAAGGAGCACTAGTCTGGAAAATGAATGAGGTCTCACAATCTCCCATAACCTGAATTATCCAGTCACGCAGTTTGTCCTAGGTTCATCCTTGTCAAAGGCCCAAACCCGGCAGAGCGTGACAACCCGAGCCTAGAGAGGACGTGTTCGATCCATGAGCTGAGAAGCCCGTTCCCACCTCCACCAAAATCCAGACCCCCTCTGCGCGCTGGGCTGCCACCTGTCCAGCCTAGGAGGGTGGGTTCCGCCCGGACCCCAAGTCGCTCGGTCCTCCAGAGCTCCCTCCGAGGGGGTGGAGCGCTCACCTGCTCGATGGCTAGTTGCACCTCAGGCGTGAGCTGCAGCACGGCCTCCAGCTCCTCCACAAACTCCAGTTCCTCCTCCTCCATCATCCCGCCGCTCAGCCCCGACGGCCCGCTCCAACCCTGCTCCTGTGCTGTCACCAGGACCCCAGACCTGCAACCCACCAGGTACAGCGCTCGAGAAAGCCGCTACTCCTTCAGCTAGCCGGGCACTTCCGGAGAGCCAGGCACTTCCGGGAACCGGGGGACTCTGGGATAGCGGAGGACTGACCTCTGGAGGCATGGCTGTCAAGTCCCAGGATTATTCCCAGACAGCCCTTAACCACAGGTTCCTGGTCGCCCGTTGCTGGTCCTTCCACCGGTGGAGGCCTTTTCCACCTCTCCCAGGGCGCGTCCCCTCCCCCCCTACCGGCGCCTCGGCGTAGTGGAGCGCCCCAGAGAGCCGCAGCCCCAGCAGAGGCGCGACGGATGGGCAGCAAGCCCCGCGGGCCATGAAACCAACGTGCCACTCGCTCGCTGGGCACCCTTGGTAAGGGACAGTATGTGTCCCCCTGCCATCGGGAGTGAAATGACCCCAGCTGGTAAGTGGCAGCGTTGCCAACGACATTTGAGGTTGGGAGAGCACCTGCTCCTTAGATAAGGATCCACTGGACAGAGTTGTGGGTGGGGGTTGGGGGACAAAGCGACCCAACGCTGGGAATTGTTTTTTGAGACTGAATAATATCTGGGCTGCATGTACATCCGTATTTACACTCTTGATAAGCCTATGATCTTGAACAAAGTACTCCCATCTGCCCTGCTTACTGCCACGTTAGGTGGGGTGAGGTGAGCATTAAATATTGGAAGTATTATGCAAATTGAAGCTGGTAGTACAGGAAATGTTAGGATGTCTAACCTTGTACATCACAAAGAGAGGAGCCAGATCACCCTGTGGAACCACTTTTCCAGCAGCCTCTGGAACAATGAGGGAGTTGCAGCCAAGGGAAGGTTGCCTTGCCAGTTCAACATTGTGAAACCCTCGATGGAGGAGTCTCTGGTCCTGCTTGAACTTCTATTATTTTTCGAAATTGCTTCAGGAATATATATAATTGGCTTTTTTCATTTAAAAAAAGTTGTAGTGTTGGGGATGGAACTTGATTGTAATTTTAGTTTGCCAAAAAATATTTGTGTAAGCAATATAATTTTTAGCCACAAAGAAATGCTTAAAAATTTACACTGCAGGAGGAGAGTCGGGGTCAGTGAGATGTCTCAACCAGTAGAGCACTTGCCCCAAGCACCACGGCTGAATTCTGCCTGGAATCCACATGTGGACAGAGTCCTGACTCTCACATGTTGTCCTCTGACCTCCGTGCATCTGGCGCACACAGATTGTTGACTCATAAAACTATGGTTTTGAAAATTATTTAATGCCATAGGAATGTACACACAGTGCGTTTCAGAAAGTAGAATATATATTTCTGAGAGCAAAATTGGCTGTGTGTGATGGCACTAGCCTATAATCACAGATGGATGAAGGTGGAGGCTGAGGACAAGGAGTGAGTTCGAGGCCAGCCTGGGTTACATGAGACCCTGTCTCAACCAAATGTCAATGACAAAGAAATATTTTTTTCTGCATTTCTCCACATGTCTACAATGAACATATAGTATTATCAGAAATCTTAGGTACCAGCTTTTATTATCAGAAAATATAGGTGCCACCTGGCAGTGGTAGCACATACCTGTAAATACTGGTACTCTGAAACTGAAGTAGGAAGATGGAGTTGAGGCCAGCTGGATTATGTGGTGAAACTGTGTCTCAAAATTCAAAAATAGCTGGGTGGGTGGTTGGCACACACCTTTAATCCCAGCACTCGGGATGCAGAGGTAGGCAGATCTCTGTGAGTTCAAGTTCTGGGACAGGTTCCAAAGTTACAGAGAAACCCTGTCTCGAAAAAAAAACAAAACAAAAAAACAATAACAACAACAACAAAATCAAAAACAAAGGCTGGAGAGATGGCTCAGCAGTTAAAGGTGCTTTCTGTTCCTCCAGAGGATCCAGGACCCGAGTTTAGTTCCCAGTACTTTCATTGAGCAACTCACAACCAAATGCAACTCCAGCTCCAGGGCATAAAGCATCCTCTCTGGCCTCCCAAGAGCTCTCACAAACAGAAGGCAGACAGACATATACATAATTAAGAAAATAAAGGGGCTAGGTCTGGGGTGGTAGTGTAGGCACATGCCTTAATCCCAACACTTAGGAGGCAAAGGCAGACAGATGTCTGTGAGTTGAGCCCGGCCTGGTCTAGAGTGAGTTCCAGAACAGCCAGTGCTACACAGAGAAACCCTGTCTTAAAAACAAAACAAAACAAAACAAACAAACAAATACAGGGGTTAGAGAGATGGCTCAGCAGTTAAGAACACTGGCTGCTTTCCCAGAGGAACTGGATTCAAGTCCCAGCACCCATGTGGCCGCTCACAATAGTCTGAAACTCCAGCTCCAAGGGCTTTTCTGGCTTCCTTGGACACCAGGCATGCACATGGTGCACAGATGTACATGCAGGCAAAACACCCATGCACATAAAATTAAGAAAATAAGATAAACAAGATAAGAAAGGGAGTATGAGTAGAAAGAGAGAGGAAACCATGTGCACCATTCCTGAAGGAAAGCACAGCTTTACCTTATCAATTTAGTTTTCTATTGCAAATTAGGTATAATTTGCATACAGTAAAATTAGCTCTTCTCTGTTTCCAATGCCATGAGCTTTGATAAATGCACATAGTCATGTAAGCACACCACAACCCAGTTAGGACATTGCCATCTTCCCCCTACTTTTCTTCACATCCATTCTAGTGCCTGGAAACCACTGGCCTGAGTTTTAGAGTTTTGACTTTTCCAGAATGTCATATAAATTCCATATAAGTGGAATCATACAGTATGTCACCTTTTGAGTCTTCCCTCACTTAACATAGTGGATTTGTGAGTCCTCCAGGTTATTACTTGTGTCCTCAATTTGTTTCTTGCCATGAGTACTCCACTGATTTATCTACTCACTGATTTGAAAACATTTGGGTTGTTTTCAGTTCTGAGGAGTTGTGAATAAAGCTGCTATAAACATTCCTGTCTACATTTTTGTGTAAGTTTTTAATTCACCAAAGTGTATACCTAGAGGTAAGATTGCTAAGTGGTCTGATCTACCTGTGTTTACAGCTGTAAGAAAGGGTATTATGTTCACATTCCTACTGACAATGTTTAAGAGTTTCGGCTACTTAGATAGTTGCTTTTTAATGATGATAATGGCTAATGTTTCCTAATGCTTATTATATGTCATACACATACCAAGCATACTACATACCTTGACTCTTAATCCACAGAGCAATTCTGAAGTTTGTAATTACCCTAATCCCAATTTAACAGTTGAGGGAATGGAGGGCCGGTTCAAACAAAACAGCCTAGATCCTATGTCATTCATAAGTGTTTCTGTCATTCATCCACTCATTCAATTACTATTCAACACCTTCCTACTGGCGACAGGCAGCTAGGCTGGGTGCTGAGTTCAGCGAAGAACCGGATCCACCAAGTGCCTGCCACCACAAAGTTAACTGCATGGAAGGAGATAGTATTCATACAAATAAAGATGTAATTGTGATAGGTCCAAAGCCAGACAACAACAGCGCACACTGAGAGATGTACTAAGAGATCAAGGGTGTGGACGCCGCTGGGGAAGCTTTCTCTCCGGAAGTGATTCTTAAGCTGCAACGATGCGGAAGCAAAGGGATGGCGAACCAAAGTAACAGTGTGTGCAGAGCTATGAGGAAGAAAGGACCTGGCTAGGATGTGGGGTTTTGAAAGTCAGGGCCAGAGTGGTACAAGTAGAGGCTGGAGAATTGGGTGGAGCACTGTCCTAAGGGAACGGATAGCCTTTGAAGGACTGGAGGCAGAGGAGTGGTGACACCAGGTTCCCTCCTGTCATCAACGCTTGTCCTGTTTTCCTCTCTTTGTTTCTGAGCTACCTGTATTGTTACAGAGAATCTAGAGCCAAGATGTCCGTGTCCAGGCCAGATTCATACTGTCTGCTTATTGCTGGCTGTCCTTTGTACCCATTGTCTGTGGTCACTATCTGCCACCACTCAAAACCATTCTTCCTTCTGAAGTCCCCAACTCCAATATTAATAATATATTAAATGCAAGTTCAACTTAGGGGATTTGTACAGTACAAAAACATGTGGGCTCTTTAAAAGAGTCCAGGTAGATACTAGTTTAAAACCTGCATTGTGGCTGGCTTGATGGCTCAGCGGGAAAGACACTTGCCACTAAGCCTAATGGCCCGAGTCCCTGGCACCCACATGGTAAAAGGAGAAAAACTAATCCCACGCACTCCTCCACCTCACTCTTTCTTCTTCAGGGACAGGCTGCACACAGTCCCCAACGGTCTGCTGATCCACTGGACAGGGCCTCGACATGCAATTTAGGGAGCTCCAATTGCCATCTTCAGACCTACGTGCACACACACACACACACACACACACACACACACAATAAATAAATAAATGTAACAATTTAAAAAAAATAGTGGCACATGTCTTTAATCCCAGCACTTGGGAGGCAGTGGCAGGTGGATCTCTATGAGTTCAAGGCCAGCTTGGCCCATAAATCAAGTTCTAGGACAGCCAAAGATACAGAGAGAAACACTGTCTCAAAAACAAAACAAAAAAAAATAGGATAAGCAATGACAGGCCAAGCTGTTTATAATAAGCAAAGAGGGAAAAATACCTTTGGCTGGAGAAAAACAGATGGCATGCTCTTCATAGAAATTTAGTGCGGAAGTTTATAGAGAAGAGGGATTTGGATATGCAAATGAGTTTGTGATACTCTCACAAATGAACGGGGCTTTTAAAGATAATTTCCTGTTATTCTGTGGCATGGGGTACAGGTGGTACAAGGTATTATAGAGAACTGAATAATACCACAAATCCCACACATAAGGCATGCACTCGGAAAAGGAGCTGGGGATGTAGCTCAGTTGGCGGAGCACAAAGCCTTGGAGTTGATCCCTAGCACAGCACACACTGGGTGTGCTGGTACATAACTGTCTTCCCAGCATTTGGGAGGTGGAAGCAGGAGGATTAGAAATTGAAGGTCACCTTCAGCTGCATGTTGAACTTAAAGTCAGTCTTTGATACAAAAGACAATCAATGAAACAAAACTAAAGCTTGAGGAACACACC